CGCAAAAGACCTGGAGAACATTTTCATTATGGTCGTATGTGAACATTGAAGCAAAGATAGCATCATAAGTCTTGATGTTATCCAAAGCCTCTTAGCAGCGGGCAACCACATTTTCTACCCACTCCCAATAGCCAGACGTATAGCGAACCACACCAAACATAACCCAGAAGAAGGAACACACAAATTGCTAAGATGTTCAGCACGACGAGGAGGGATGGCAATAACAACATTTTGATGAGTGGAACACTTCAAGAGGAGAACTTTCTCAGTTGTGACCTTGCTAGAGAAATTGTCTATAAAATCCTTCATTTCGGTTGACGATCACACTAGGAGATGATGAGAAGTGTACAACATATTTCTAACAAGTAGGATGGGGCCGATCACTGGAGGATGAACTTTCAAGGTGAAAACTTTGGCGCGCGAATGTTGCTTATTCTCCATGATCTCAAGGCAAGGGTATGGCGCATCTCAGTCACCAAAGTCCATTGTCGCTGCTAGAAATCAAGATTGCACAACGTGGCTTTAGAAAAAAAAGTGATTACATTGGCGAAAACACAATTGGAGTAATCAAAAGACAAAAAGATCTGACCATTAGAAATGAGTTCAACCTTGAAAATTAAAACTGTATCAATTGAAAAGTAATTTGGCTACCAATATTTTATATGTCGTATTTCCATGTTTCTAGTTTCGGAAAAATCAGAAGACTTGCGATTTCAATTGTTCTACAATTAGAAATGAATTTTACACTACGGACACGTAAATCTGTCAATCAGAAACGGGTTCAACCTTGAAGACCAAAACTGTAGCAATTGAAGAGGAATTTGGCTACAAATATGTTATATATCGTAGTTCCATGTTTCTAGTTTTGGAAAACCAAACAGCTTGCGATTTTGATTTTTCTACAATTAGAAATGAATTTTATACTACAGATGCGCAAATCTATCAATCAGTGGCAGGTTCAACATTGAAGATAAAAACTGTAGCAATGGAATAAAAGTTTGGCTGCAATTTCTCTTTCTATGTTATATCCCCGTGTTTCTAGTGTTGGAAATATCAAACGGCTTGCAATTCCATTTTTCTACAGCTAGATATGAATTTTACAATACAAGGGCGCAAAGCTGAACCATCAAAATTGGTTAATGCTAAACAAGATTCTAATTTACCTTAGAAAGTAGCAAGAGTACTTTGCTTGAAGTTTCTTTCTAGATATGATGGAGGCTACGTCTCTTGATTTAATAAAAATCAAGCGACGTCGCAACTGAACAGTTAAATACACTCGGATAACTTGTTTTTTGCAACGTCTTAAATTTTGTTTGATGAAACTCTCTATGCATTGGAGAGGATTATATAGGGATTCTTGTGAAAGATTTCTAATCCTTCCACAAGGCATAATAAGGTGAATTTGGAAGAACAAAATCTGATTTGGGTTGAGATATTTATTATCCAATTTGGAGCCACACCAATATAAAAGATTGAACCAAAGAGGTAAGGAAAGAAGAATATCCTTATTGACTTGGACGCCAAAGGAAAGTTAATATTCTTTTTGTTTGACTCAAAATTCCAATCAATCTTCTTATTTTTCTCACACCCTGCAAGGAGTGTTACCACTCAATAGACGCATCTATTGAAAATTAATACAGAGGGTCCACGTGGTTGTCGAGCAAGACTGTTTAAAAAAATTGAGATCACTACAAGCAAATCACTTGTAGTGCCCTAGTTAGAATATGACGACAAGAAACAAATACTCTTGAAGTCTCAATAAATGAAAATGCATTCATGAAGACTTCAACACTCGTCGTCAAATTTGGCAAGCCTGCACATAGAGAAGTCTCGAAAAAATGAAAACACATGCATGAGTAGTTCAAGTCTTGTCGCCAAACTTCGGCAAGCCTGCAATTCGATAAGTCTCGAAGTAAGGGGCATTTGTAGACACATAAATTTTATTGGATTAAAATTCGTACAGAATTTGAATTAAATCCATACTCATTGGGGCTAAATGATTAATTAGGGCTTTACAAATAAATAAAGCAATTTTATTAAATTCAAATCCAAGGTCCATTTCACCTTGAAGCCCAAACCCATTGCACATGTCACAGTGACTAGGCATCCAAGACCAACAAGGTTACGCCACGTGTCCAAATGAGATGGTAGTCCCAGTGAAAATAAAGAACTAATCACAACATGCCAAGTGTCAAAATGACATCCTTTGGCAAATCATATGCAACCTTGTCCACCCCTTACAACTATGAATAAGGGATGGACATAACATTTTGGGGGCATCTAGAAAACTCTTCAACAGGCATTCTGCAATTGGAGAAAGCTACATCACCTACATAGCTCTTCGAAGGAGTGATCAACGGAGTTCTTCTCGGAGATCGACTTGAAACGACGAATTGCTTTCCGATATTCCCGGAGATCAACAACATCTTAAGGAGGTCTACATCATCCAACAATTCGAGAAGTACGCTACTGCAGGATCTCAAATCTTGGAGAAGCTTAGGAGAGAGAATCAATAGAACAACAAAATTGTACTCACAATGATTCATCAATAAAAATCACATATTTTTCCTTTATTTATTTTTCTTGGAGCCGTTTTTCAGTGCTTACAGAAATTTTTTGCTTATCCCTCTCTCGAGAGATTCATCCATATCGTCCCTTGGGTGAATTGAAATAACAGAAGTCCTTGGGAGCACATCAAAATGGAGTTGCACATGATCTTACTATGCAACTTGTTTCATCGCAAGAAACGGGGTCAAGCAAATGTCTTAAGAGTGATATCTTTGGACTCATGAAGACATTAACTCTCGTTGTCAAATTCGGCAAGCCTACACGTTGACAAGTCTCAAAAAAGGAAAATACATTCATGAAGACTTTAACTCTCGTCATCAAATTCAGCAAGCCTACATGATGACAAGTCTCAAAAAAAGGAAACCACATTCATGAAGACTTCAACTCTTGTCGTCAAATTCGGCAAGCCTACACGTTGACAATCTCAAAAAATAAAAACGCATTCATGAATACTTCAAGTTTGGTCACAAAACATCGGCAAGCCTACACGTCGACAAGTTTTGAAGTAAGGGGCATTTGTAGACACATAAATTGTATTGGATCAATTTCATAAAATTTTTAGTTAAATCCATGTTCATTTTGGGTGAATGATTAATTGGGCTTTACAAATAAATAAGTTCATCTTATTAAATTCAATCCAAGGTCCATTTCACCTTGAAGCCTAAAACTCATGCCACGTGTAACAATGACTAGGCATCCAAAACCAACAAGGTGATGCCACGTATCTAAATGAGGTGGTAGTCCTAGTCAAATGCAATAACCAATCACAATCCGCCAAGTGTCAAAATGACATCCTTTGGCCAATCACAAGCAACCTTGTCCACCCCTACAACTATAAATAAGGGATAGACATAACATTCTAGGGCATTAAGAAACTCTTCAACAAGCATTCTGCAATTGGAGAAAGCTACATCAACTACATAGCTCTTCGAAGGAGTGATCAATGGAGTTCTTCTCGGAGATCAACCTGAAAAGATGAAGCGCTTTCAGACATTCCTGGAGATCAAAAACATCTCAATGAGGTCTACATCATCAAAAAATTTGAGAAGTACGCTATTGAAGGCCCTCCAATATTGGAGAAGCTTAGGAGAGAGAATCAAGAGGACAACATAATTCTACTCACAACGATTCATCAATAAAAATCACATTTTCTATTTATTTTGATTGCAGTCTATTTTGAGCGCTTACGGAAATTTGATGGGAACAAATTTGGCACGCTCATTGGGACCGATTCTGCTCTTCATATCTTTTTCTTGCAAACCAAAAACTACAAAGTCAACTACTGCAATGGCCTTTAGAAAGAGTAGTGATTTTTCATACAAAGACTCTATTGGTGTCATATCTGCTGATCTTAGTCATGTTGTCCCAATTAATCGATGTTGGTTCAAGAACAGTGGGCTAGATGGATCTGAATACTTCACTTCTTTGGAGACGATGAAAAAAACAACTCTCATACGATGGTCGTAACTGGAACACGTAGGGCAAATCTTACATCCGTGTTCTTTGGAGGATTTTCTCAAATTGGCTCCAACTTTAGTGAATCTGAATATTCAATGGATTCTCCAACTTCAATGAATGTCAATGCTTAAATGGATGACTCAACTGACATGGATGAAAAGTTTGTGATGATGGAGCAAACCATTGAGGCCATGAAGAAATCTGTTGATGACAAAACTTTTCATATTGCTAAACTTATGGACAAGTTGGAGGCATTCACACCTGGAAAGTAAAGCCATATCCCCAATTGTCCACCTAGTTTTGATCAACGAAACAAGGAAGTTGAGGAATCTCTAGCGAAGTCAAGATTTCAAAATGAGAAACAAACTGCTTCAGTTGCAGCGCTATCTATCAAACAGTTGCAAGACATGATAACAAACACTATCAGGGCTCAATATGGCGGTACATCACAAAGTTCCTTGTATTACTCCAAGCCATACACCAGACAGATTGATTGTCTATCAATGCCGATAAACTATCAACCACCAAAGCTACAACAATTTGATGGCAAGGTATACCCGAGGCAATATATCGCCCACTTTGTTGAAACTTGTAGCAATATTGGAACACATGGTGACCTTTTGGTAAAAGAGTTTGTTCGTTCATTGAAAGGGAATGCATTCAACTGGTATATCGACCTAAAACAAGAGTCCATCGATAGTTGGGAGCAACTCAAGAAGGAATTCCTCAATCATTTCTACAGTACTCGTGGAACTGTAGGCATGATTGAGTTTCCTGGCACTAAGCAAAGAAAGGATGAGCCTGTGATGGATTACCATAATCGTTGGAGATCATTGACTGTAGATTGCAACGATTGTCTTTATGAAATAGCTGCTATGGAAATGTGCATTCAAGGTATGTATTGGGGACTTCAATACATACTACAAGGAATCAAACCGCGAACTTTTTAGGAACTTGCTACATGAGCGCATGATATGGAGTTGAGCATCGCAAGTCATGGGAAGGCATTTCCTTTTGCTAATATGACAAAGGAAAAGGAGTTCAAGAAAGGTATGACCTCAAAGATCCAGAGTAAGGAATCTTTGGTGGTGAAAGAAACATTTTTAAACGTCACCACCAAGAAGAAACTAAAAGAGGAGAAAGCCCCAAGTCAATATCCAAGGGAGGAGAGGCCACATGCAACCTTGAAGGAGTTAGAGCCAAAAGTCCACCCATTTGCATATTCAGAAGTATCTATGATTCTTGATGAATTCTTAGCTAAGAAAGTTATTAATCTTCCTGAATCAAAGAGGCCCGAAGAAACCAATAAGATTGGTGGTCCTAGATACTGCAAGTTACATCGCGTCTTTGGCCACCCGACAAGTAAATGCTTTATCTTGAAGGAGAAAATCATGATGTTAGTAAGTGAAGGAATTATTATCATTGACCAGGATGATAAAGCGGAGGCAAATCATGCTAGTGTAGCACCAAATCAAAAGAAGTGCTCAAGGTCCACTTTCTTGCAATTCGGAAGTTTAACTCCTATTGAAGGTTATTTTCCAAGGAAAACTCTTGAAGGTTCACTAGAGATAGACACCACAAAGAAAATAAAGTTGATGGTTGGAGTTTGGTTACACATAAGAAGCGGAGACATCAAGTAGTTCTTAGGATACGACTTCCTGAGACAAGAGCAATAAGGAGTGATGTCAATCAACTACATCTATTGGTTCGAAGGCCCATTCCATTAAATGAATTCTTACTATCCAAAAGATCAATGGTTCTTTATCACAGAAGGTTCGAAGGCCCATTAAATTAAATGAATTATTTCCTAAAAAAATATTTTGCGGTAATCAAATTGGTGCAACACACATTATTTCCAGCACAAACGACACAAAGGAAAGCAAAGGCGGGCATAATCCAGCAATAACACAAGAACATCAAACTGATGAAAAAGTTACCCGATGTTGTGCTGCAATTGCCTTCACAGATGATGACTTATTGTTAGGGTCTAAGCTACATAACAGACCTTTATTTGTTGTAGGATCTATTCGGGAACAACATCTTAATCGCATACTAATCGATGGTGGTTCGGCAGTCAATATCATGCCAAATGTTGTTCTGAGAAAACTTGGGATCTCTATTGATGAACTGTTCAAAATTGACCTAACAATCCAAGATTTCAATCAAGGAGGACAACGATCCATAGGGAAGATTCGCGTAGGATTGTCCATTGGCGACGTGAAATCAAACACTTTGATTCATGTCATAGACGCCAAAACATAATACAACTTGTTGCTGGGATGTCCTTGGGTTCATGAAAATGCAGTGGTGCCATCTACTTTGCCTTAATGCATGAAGTATATGAAAGATGGTGAAGTAGTCAAAATTGATGTAGACATCAATCATTTCACTGAGAAAGAGTCATATTTTGCAGATGCAAAATTATATTTAGATTCTGGAAGATCAAATATGGAGAAACATGCGGAAGCCGACTCTATTGATCTCGAAGATAGTAAAGTTCAATGGGCTGCTATCAAGATGTCTAAGAAGAGAACGGAAGAGGTTTCCATTAAGCTTTCACCATCTAAAGGAGATATGCAGTACAATATTCATGATGAGCAACCAATTTTTTGTTATATTCCACGTGATCATCGAAAAAAGGGACAACCACTGCTAGAGGAATGTACTCACCAAGTTCACCCATCGAGGAAAGAATTGAGTCACACAACATTCCAAGGTTTGAAGGAGGAAATGGCAGTCTCGGTTACACAAGTCGCGTCTTTCACTTTGGAGCCTTCCAAAGGAAATACCCCACTTGGTCAGATAAAAGGGAACTTTGATCAAAAGGTCTTCACATTATTTGAAAAATCAGGTTACAACTTCTCAAATCCAGCAAAGTTAGGAGAACCCGCTGGTAAAGTCACCAGCGAAAAGATACATGGACTTACAAATTCTCAAATGCGGTTGACAAAAAAAGAATATTATATCGCCACTCCTATGTTTGGGTTAGGATTCAACTTACCGGAGACTCTTCGAATTTCATCTAAGAAGGGGAAAGAAATAACTTCATCCCACTACACCTCTGTAGAAAAGATAAGGATCTAAGGAGGGTAAAACATTGTGTTTCCCGTTCATATTTAGTTTAGTCAATTTTCTACAGTTTTTAACCTTTTTTCTTCCCTATGATCAAAGTTATATGATATACTAACTTGCTTTTGAGTATTAATTTTGATACTTATATATTAATTAATATATTTATGAATTATGATAATTATATAAATTATTGAATTTTGCTGATTGAATTTGATCGTGAACATTAATTTTATCTCAAACAAATGTATACAAATTTGTTGATTAATAGAAATCAATATATAATGATGTAAAATAATAAAAATATTAATGCAAATAGATCTATACCAATTTATTAGACGAGTAATGACCAATGTATATCAATGAATATCAATCTCGATTTAAGTAAATATATACAAATTTTGTTAAGTAAATATGAAAAATGAATATCAATTTCGATTTAAAGAAATGCATATAAATTTGTAGGATCAGTACATACTGATGAGTCCACGATTTGAACTCATTTAGGGCTTTATTTGGATAAATTTAGTGTCCTCAAATGCTTATTTTGTGCTAATAACTTATGTAAAACCCTTGATTTCCAGGTAAATGGAGTGAGGAACAAAGCATGGACACTAATGGGTAAAAAGGAACAAGGTAGCTGAAAGAACAAAGAAAATAAGACCTAGTGTTCACCTAATCCATTGGGCGATTCGCCGAATGGCTATTATCTCGCCTAAAGTTCTAGTGTGCCAAGCCCTTAAGGAGAAAATCAAATCTGCGAGAGAAAGGAGCAATTGGCGTGTCATCGAGTTGTTCTGCGTTGTAGTGTTGGATCGCCCAAAGTTATAGAACTTGAGGATGTTGAAGGCCAAAGCAAAAAGGCGATGGAACGTACCAAAGGGAGGATCGCCAAACTGATCAGCGATCCCGACTTACTGCACTGAATGGTCCTTCGCAACATATTTTTGGCGACTATAAATACATTTTCAAACATTATGTTTAGTATCAAATTTTATTTTGAACATTCATTAGAGTAATTTTTGAGTTTGAACTGTGAGTATTGAGACTTAATTTTCTTAGCTTCGAAGAATTGAAGTTTTCCATTTTAGAGAAATTGGAAGTGGGTCTTTGAAATTCTTTAATTTGGACCTTTGTAAAGACGAAATTAATCTTACCCATTTGATGGAAACACAATTTGGTAACGATTTTTGTATTATCATGATGTCTAGCTAAAACCCCAATTCTTGGGGTGTGATTATGTAATTATGGGTTGATTTAACTGATGGGTATTTCTAATTGTTAGTTTATATATTGTTTAGAAGTGATTTCAATCATTAATTGTGGTT